GAAATACTTCCCAGAGAGACAAAACACATCTAAATGAAAGTAAAAGTAAGCCATGCAGACTAAGAAGGAGGAATTTGGGGGCAGAGGGACAAGCCAAGAACGGTCCAACACAGCCTTGTGTGCTGGAGTGACAAGAGCTAGTGAATGGCAATCATGTTTTGATCAGCATTTTTCTGAGTTCTGTGCAGTCAGTGCTAGATGGAACTTTTACTGTGGAAGCAGTCAAGTCTATTTTGTGTTTGACAGACTAGAGGGTATGGTGAAGAACCAGTCTGTGGCTGTGATGAGCAGGTGTATCCTGATGTTAATCACCGTAGATTTGCCACATCAGAATTTCACGTCATAAAACTGATCTCCATGGTGCTGACAATGCTTCTGTGGTCGAAATTTTATTAACTCGCCTTCAGTTGCAACTGGAGATAAAGCCTCCCACGAGTGACTGATCATGTCAAAAAATGGATCTTCCATTCCTTTGGCTATGTGCTACAACTCTCTTTAAAACCAAATGCTTGTAGAAAGGTTGATTGTCAACATAAGGCTCTCTCTCTGGAGTGGCTCTTTTCATTTTGCCATTTTTCACATTTTCTTACAAAATATTTTTGCCTTTCCTCAAGAGGAAAGCTGTTATGAAGTGAGTCAAAGAGTTTGGCATCTTCAAAGCACTTATCCATGTTTTAAAGTAGTATAAAAAGTCTAACAATTTTCATTAGCATGGAGTACACTTTTGAAGAAACAGTGACGAAATCAGACTGTGGCAGAAGTCGGTTTCCTGAGTGGCCTCATCCTCACAAACATTCTGTATCTTTTTTCCCCTGGTCTTTCCTAATTATACTTCCATCCTTTCTGTAAAGCTCTGTATAAACATCCTGAGGAAGTAAAATTGAAGGCAGAGTTGTGAAGGCACCCTCTCATTCCTCTTTCCACACAAAAACACACATGTGATGTTGCTTGTAGCACTGGACTGATGTGGGATTCCCCTCTGTATGCTTTGAATACCATTGGTTAATAAAGAACTGCTTTGAGCCTATAACAGAGCAGGGCAGAATAGAGGTAGGTAGAGAAGCCATGTAGCCCCACTGGAGACAGATGCCAGAACATTACCTGGTAAGTCACAGCCACATGGTGATTTGCAGATTAATCGAAATGGGTTAAATTAATATGTAAGAGTTAGCCAATAAGAAGCTAGGGCTAATGGGCCAAGCAGTGATTTAATTAATATAGTATCTGTGTGGCTATTTCAGGTCTGAGCTGGTGGGTGATAGGAAAATGAACTAGCAGCCCCTTCTTCAACACTTGATCAACATTGCAAGCAGGGCATAACACAAAACATGAGAAGCCTGCAACAGGATGGTTGGTTCTTTGACACCTTTCTGGTCTTGCTAAAAAAAAAAATGTAAAGTTTTGTTATTATTAATACCACGTGTGTGTGTGCGCGTGTGTGCGTGTGTGTGTGTGTGTGTGTGTGTGTGTGTGTAAGAGAGAGAGAGAGAGAGAGAGAGGGAGAGAGGGACGGAGGGAGAGGGAGGGAGGGAGGAAGGGAGGGAGGGAGGAAGAGAGAGAGAGAACCAGATTTGTTAGGGTGCCTGTGGACTGGAAAAAGCGTCAGGTTCTTTTGGAGGTAGAGGTGACTGTGTGTGGCCAAATCTAGATCCCGAGAACCATACTTGTTTCCTCCAGAAGAGCAGCAAGAACTCTTGTACTACTGAGCCTTCTCTTCAGACCAAATAGAAGATACTTTTAAAGCTTGTGAGGTGATGCAAACCTATAATCCCAGCACTGGGAAGATGAAGGCAGGGGGATCATCTCCCTTGCTCTGTTGTCCTCTTGAGGTTTTATATGTGGTTCATCGGCTGCTTGTAAAAAGACTTGCAGTGTGGTTTCAGAAATGGCTTGTCTTTCTAGCCCATGGGCACCATCTGTACTCAAGGAGCTCTAGGTTGTGTAAGAAACTTAGGGAAGCATCAACAAAGTGCAAGACAGAGAGTGAGCCAGGAAGCAGGAAGCAGGAAGCCCCACTCCTTCATGTTTATTGCTTCAAGCCTCTGTTTGAGCTCTTGCCCCTGACATTTCTCAGTGATGCACTAGAACCTGGAAAGGAAAGCCAAACAAGCCCTATCCTATTTCAGCTATCATGTCATTTGATTTAAAAAATGTACGTCCTAAAAGAGAAAAATATTTGTATGATTTCTAATAATGATGCCATAAAATAGCTAAAAATGTAAGAGCTGATTAATTTTGACTAAGCTTGTCTTTGACCTCAAAATTTTTAATCTAATAACTTTGTTAGGTGCTCAACAGGCTACATGGACTCAGATTTCTGTGTGGAAAAGAAATGAGATTTTGTCATTATCAGATCCATTTTCCTTCTGGAAGAATACTTCTGCTCAGGTGGTGTGATGTTTTATACTGACTGTCAACTTCACAGGACCTAGAATCACCTTAGAGATAAAGAGTCCTTAGATAAAGGGACCTTCTGAATTATGTTAGTTGAGTGACTCTCAACTTCATAGGGTCTAGAATCACCTTAGAGATAAAGAGTCCCTAAATAGAGGAACTTTCTAAATTAGTTTAGTTGAGGTGGGGAAAAGCTACTGTAAGTACCAGATAAGAAGGAGGAAGCCATCTGAGTACCGGCATCCACCACTTTCTACCTCTTGAGGTTTCCATGATTCTGGGCTCCAATCTAGAGCTCCTTGTATGCTTGGCCAGTACTCTGCCAAGAGCAACACCCTCAGCCCCGCCCCTATACTGTTGTTTGTGACCTGTCAGGATGGTTTCCTCACAGAAGAGGTAAAAGCAGAGAATAAGAAGAAAGTTCAGCTCAACACTCTAAACAGCAAGAATGATGGAAATTTGAAAGACACAAATGAATAGCTTCCTAAACATCTAGCCTCCCAGACCCGGCGCCAGAACCAGCTATTTCGCCTCTAATCACCACAAAAATAAAAGCTTGTCTGAGACTACTGGGATCTAATTTGCTGTGTGGAATGTAGGCTCACCAGTTTGGCTGTGTCAGTTATGATAAGGTGTGAGTGGAAATCTGAGGAGAGTGATTTTCTTGTAGCCAAAGGGAAAAGCCAGACAAAACTATTTCTTATTCAAAAAATATAAGAGTAACTGGAACTTTCTCCCACTTGGATTTTAGTTTTGTTTAGAGCCCAAAGCTAGAAAGCATGCTCATGTGGTCTAAAGAGAGTGTCTGCCTATGCAATGAGTACTTGCAAAGGAATTAAAAACAGGGACTAGCAAGCATTCTTGCATCCTTAGAGAGGCAAAGGGAGTGGGACAGAATTTTAAAGATGGTTGTCTCCAGCAAAGAGAAAGCGGTCAGAGACATTTTCTGGAAGCGTGACATGTGTCTTCTGGGGTTTGTGGCACCGACAGGCTGGTGTTAAAGTCACCCCTGAAAATCAAAGGTCTGGGACTGACAGGCGCTGCCTCTGATGCGGGGCTCTGAGGGGAAGCTCTGTGCATTCAAAGACCAGCAAGAATATAGTCTACAGTTAGGACTGGGCAGAAGAAAATTGTCATACTGGCCTCAGGCTGGAGTTAGAGTCAAAGTGACTCCATCTCAGGGGAGGGTCTTGAGGACAGCTTGTCTCCAAAAGAGGAGCTTTGAGGGTGAAAGGACAGAGTAGCTGAGTTGGGATTAAGTGCTCCACCAGGTCTATTCAACCTGTCTCATTGAGGAAGAAGGCATGGGGAGGGTCTAATGGACATAAAGATCAGGGGTAGAATGCACCACCTATGTGGCTATCAAGAGATCAATGAATAATGCATATATGCCATATGTACACAGTCATTTTATTCAGCCATAAAAGACAAATGAAATGCCCTTTTTAGGAGAGGCTGTATTTGGAGCCCATCAGATTGAAGAAAGATGCCAGACTGCAAGAAACAATTGTGGCTGGTCTTCTCTCATCTGTGTTTTCTGAATGTTAGAAGCATGAAACCATGTATGTGCACAGGACGTGGAGGTAAAAGAGAGACCAGGGCAATGGATGAAAATAACAGAGGGGGGGAGGAAGAATGAATATTTGAAAGTACATAATGCAGTTGTGGGAAAATGATGTGAAGCCAGAGTTTCTCAGGCCCATTGCATACTTAGTTTTCCCTTTCCACTCATTAACAGAACAAGGAACAAAGGCAAGGACGAGCGTGAGGGTGGTTGTCAGAGGAGCGGCTACTGCAAGTCGGTTTATCAGCCATATTCAGTGAACATGCCATTAGCGGAGGCTAGGCTTCCTAAAAGGCCCCAAAACAGGCTGATTTTGGAGCTCTGAGGGGAGAATGGTATGCAGCTGGATTTTGAAGCAATTCTGTCTATGTGTCCTCCTTCTTCTCCCCCTCTCTGTATGTGTGTGTGTGCTCTGTCTGTTCTTAAAGGACTATTCCATGCTGCTCACTGAAGAGTGCTTCATTATCCCAGCCACAAACGAACCTCCTCTGTGGTCCTCTGGACATTTTAGGCAGTCTTTAATGTTTCCTTATTCAGCACCTGGTTGTGGCTCTGCTCCGGAATTACAAGGCACACTGGTTCTGATCGGTTAGTTTGCTTATTAAACAGTTGAATATTATTCATTCTGGAAATATGCATATGAAATATAGAGAATTATCTGGTATTGTAATAGTAATGAGATCCACTTTGATACCATGATAATCATATCTTACTTTTTAAAAATGGTCTCACCAGCAAAGTGGCACATGCATGTACTTTACACACACAAAAAGTTGAGGCCTAAGGAATCTAAGTTTGGATTAACATGTGTTACATAGCAAGCATCTGTCTCACTATAAAAAAAAATTGTTCTGCATTGCAATATAGACTTTTAGGCATAAGATAAGGTTCTTAGAAATATTTTTTGAAGTAGACATCACCAAACCCATCTTGCAGTTGAGGAAGTTGGAACATAAAAATCTGACTTCCCAAGTTTGCATAAACAGTTGCTCCCAGAGCTCAGTTTCACACTAGTGGCCTTCACATCTCGTCCTTGTATGTGTGATGATGCTGACCCGCTGACCCTGCTTTCTGTTCAACAGGTGTGGCCTGTGAAAAAATATTCATAGAAACAACCTGAATTTTGCAGAGAACCAAAAGAGCGACTCTCAAAACTGCTTAAGAGGCTCAGAGACCTTCACTGTGAGCTACACATCATAGACTAAACATGAAGTATATACTACTATGGTTAGTCATACCTGTGAATCTTTGTATCCTCTGAGGAAATATGGCCGCTTTTTGTTTTGTTAGATGTGTTTGTGTGAGCATGTATGTGGGCTCATGTGTTTGTACAGGTGTGCATTGGTATGTGTGCACATGCCTGGCAAGGCCAGAAGATAGTCTTTGGTACCTTTCCCACAGTATTGTTTATAAAATCTCTCATTGCGCTGGATCTCTTCAAGGAGACTCTCCAGGTTGACCAGAAAGCCCCGGGGTAATGTGTGCCTGCGAAACTTTAGCACTGATAGTATAAGCTTATGCCACCACACCTGGACTCTGGCCTTGAACTCAGGTTCTAATGCTTTCATGGCAAATGTTTTACCACATGAGCTATTATGTCCCTAATGCAAAATATATATATTTTAAAAATAGCAATATTTAAATATTTTTATTGTACAGAATAAAAAAAATTAGTTTATATTCTGCCATCTGATAACATATTCATTTATAATCATACTTTATTGTTTATTCACAAAGGAAATACAGGTTAAAAAATAAATGACTCCATGATTAAGTAATGTTAGATTTGCAGCAAATGTAACAAAGATTTCACTTGTTTATCCTGGGTAAAATCCTATCATCTGAAGGTCAGAAAGCACATCTAGAAAGAACAAATATCAGGAACAAGACTGGGCAGTTGAAAATTAAAGCCCCATGCAACACGCAGTATGACATTTTAGATGTTAAATGGAACACAATTCCGTTCAGACTGGACAGCTATTGTCAGTCTGGATCGCTGCTTGATCTACAATTTATATGGAGTTGAAGCAGAAAGAATTTTTTTTTCTGCCTCAGCTTCTTGGCTTTTAACACAATGTTTCACAGATGTCTGACCTTTGGTTTTTAATGTGATAATGCGCTCCCGACCGACAGAAACTGAAGCTGATTGTCAGAACAGAAGTTGTTTTTCAAGGAGAATGATCCCAAGTTGTGGACATAAATGACACCATGTATTTTTTTTCCCCAGGATGTCTAGTCACATCAAATGTCAACGTCCTGGGAATGGTTCAAGAATGGTAGGTAAATATAAAAAGCGGCATATGTTAAGACACTAAATTTGGTACAGTTATTTACTTGAGAAAAAATAGGTTTTCCTCTTGGGAAAGCGCTCTACTTCACATCTTCTGACACTGGTCCTGTCTTTCGGAGTTTTACCATGGTGCTGTCATGAGGTTGGATATGCTCCTTAGTCCTGCTCCCATCAGCAGTATTTATTCTCCTCGCTAGCTATCGGTCTCAGATTCCACTTACATCTTCTCGACAACACACCGTGGAGTCAGGTTCAGTAATACCTTCCCCGCATTTTGTCATAGATTTCTCAACGGATAGCAAGGAAGACATGGTCACATCCATTCTGTGTTACCTTGGCAGATTTTCTTCGTTTGGAACCGGGGTGGTTTAGATGCCAGGTTTCTCTAGAGGACCAGAAGTGTAGAATGAATGTATATTACAAGGGGGAGCTAGTAATCCCTTTACAGAAGGCTATCCACAGAGTCCAACATGGCCGTCTTTACACTTGACGGGCAGAGAACTCTATAGCACTCGGTCCATAAAGCAGAATGTCTCAATAGTTCCAGTCTATGGCTAAGGGCCTGGGTGATTCCTGAAGACTCACTGGGCTTCAGTCTCCCTGGGGAAGGCCAATATAGCGGGGCTCTGATATCAGAGGGTACCAGTACCAGGGTAGCTTTCCTTACCTATTAGAAGTTAAGAGGACTCAGTATTTCTTTCCCCTCTGATCTCTTTATATAGATGCTGCAGTCAGAAAGCGTTACCAGCTCTGGGCGAAGATCTTCAACCCTCATTCATAGTTTCCTGGGAATGCCTTCACAGCTCAATCCAGAGAGGCTATCTTAGTTGATTCTAGATCCAATTAAGAAACAGTATTATTTCCCCACAAAGATTCATGATCCGCAAGCTTGGTTGCCTCTGGAATATTTAGCCATTAGAACTATCAAAAGATAGGACCTGATGCTTGGTATTTGGGCCTCCATTTTAGAAGTTTGAAATGCTCATCTCGTAAAGGGGGAATGTTGTCATGTGGGTGTGTTGTTCTTGAGAAGGTCATATTTCAGAGTGAACATGCCATGTGCATAATCCCTTCAGAATTCAGCATACTTTATTTCTCAACTGAACTGTCTCTCAGTGAAAGTCTCTCTATGATACAGGAGTATGGGGTATGTGTCCTCCAAATATAAGAATGGTGAGTTCATATTTAAAGTTACACCGCTTCAGGTATTGTGCTATAGCCACACAGTGCTTGAGAACATTATCTAATTGCCTCATAAAGGAGTGAAAGTTTTTTTTAAAAGTACTTTTGAAATTCTATGGAACATTTTATTATAGCTAATCATGTAGTAGAACAGGCAGGTGTTACTTTTAGGGTGAAAGTCCCTGATCTATTCTATAAGAACTGGTGAAGATTTCAGACTATATCTACTACTGTTTAATAGTCATTACAATGAGAAAACATTATTCTTCCTTTTGTTTTCCTTTCTGACATCTTGAGGATGTTTTCCTTTAACTTTTCAGATGAAGTTTTCCATGAATCTAGGATGTCTTTCCCTGCTTCCAATGAATTTTTCTTCAGAAACCAAGATCTACCAATTATCAAAGTTATCTGACCTAATTGCATTTTGGTCACATCAGTCCATGCCCTTTAACTGGGTGTCTCCCTCTGAACATCTTTCTTATTTTCCATTTCTTACTACTCTTTCCTTCCATTGGCCATCCTAATGCCATTTTCTCTTATCCATCCACGAGCCAAATGGAGAGAGCTGTCTCTTTGAAACATTTTCATAACCATAAATCAGAGGAGGCGTCACATAATTTCTGGGTGTTTGCAGAGCAGGAGCCCCATTCTACATCCCTATATTGACATGTGTCACCTGACACCTCCAGGTGTCCTTTGCACAGATATCTCTTGACTCGCAGTTAAGGATACATCACCTAAAGATCTTCCTTCCCACTTTCAGTATGGGTAAACTCTAGGTTGCCAGGGTTTTTGTTTTGCCCAAAGGCAATCCTGCCTGAATCTTACGCATTGTCCAGGGAACCTGTCCCTCAGGCCCTTCCCATTTCTATCTCACCATTTGAGCAGACTCGATTTCATGGGCAGTTCCGCCTGGGAGTGTTTTTCTTAAATACATACTCACTAATAGAACCTTGCTTATCAACATTAACCATGAAGTCAAAATGATATGGTTCAGAAGCACCCAATCAAATTCATGTGCACATAGTTATTGGACGTATAGTCACGCACAGTAATACGTTCACTTACTGTAACGGTCCTCATGAAAAATGTACCCCCTAAGTTCAGGTGTTGGGACACTCGCTCCACAATTAGTGGTTCTTCTGGTGGTGAAGCTACTGAACCTTGAGGAGGTAGAAGCTGGCTGGAGAAAGTTTGTCGCTGGGGATGGGGCTTGAGAGTTTATATTCTGGTCCACCTCCAAATCATTCCTTGTTTCCCAGAATCCCTACGTAATGCTATCAGTCGGTTTCAGCCCTGCTCCAGCCAGCTACTATGCCATCCTTACCATTATGGATGTTACATCTGGAGCCAGAAGATAAATAAAGCCTTCCTTCTATGCATCCCTTTGGTCATGGTGCTCTATATCAGCACCAGGAAAGCAAATGATACACTGGCAACTAGGTTTCCACATTTATTTAGTTAGAATTGGAAAGGAGTCAGAGTGTTAAAATATATGGGTGCAGCTTGAACACAGTGAGCCCGAGACCACCACTCCTGTCTATAAGAATAATTCCTCTGTTTTCACAATGAAAACCCTGAGGAGGCATCTTTATTTCCTATTTAAACTGCACCAGAAGTACTGGGCTATTTATCAGGAGAAAATACAAAAATACATATGATGTTTGTTAATAACAAACTGATGTTTGCATAATTCAGTCAAGCTGGAGAAATTCACTATTAACTTGCCAACAAATCTCATTCAGCTGAACACCGCATTTATGGAGAGAGGGAAATCAATTTTATCAGTCACGATATATTTGGTTGAGAGATCAATGTAAATTTTTGAATATGCCATTTCTCACTTTTTCTCCAGAGAAGGGAAATCAAAATTTTCCCATTATTAACTGTCATAAAAAAGGACATTCTTGAGATTGATTTCTGGGAGGATACTGATAGAATGCCAGATAGTTGGAAATGCAAACATTTGCTTAATTTGTCTTTCCTCTTATAGAAATTCTACAAGTATCTCTTTTCTTGCCCTCTCTAAATAAGTGAAATGCACAATCTTCTCTCCTCATGGCTCCACTTCTAGTGTGCTTTGTTTCTCAGTGTGTGGAAGTAGCAGTCTTACTTGTGTATGCACACACCGGGAGCAGAGAGCACAGTGGGAACAGACAGGCTGCTTGTCGCGATTCTGCATCACTCTACCCGAGGGAAGGTGTCCGGCTAATAAATCGAGAAGCTTAAGATGCCATCCAGAATACTTCTCTACCTTGCCAGGCGCGTTTGGCCAGACAGATAAACATATAAAATGGTGGCAGCTGCCTTATATGGACTCTGCTTTGGGTAGTAGTCATTGATGTCTTGCCCTCATAACTGAGCTAAGAAAGTATTTCTATGTCAGTCTCCCTTAAAGTTCTCAGTCCACAAGAAGCCCTTGTCTCCCAAAGTATACCAAATATTAGGAAATAAGAATATGACACTCCCAGTTTACCCCACAAGCTCCAGCTCTGTGACTCTGAAATCTGATATTGCACATATGAGGTAGCAATTTTAGTGACACGTTAGACAAAGGTTGTTGAAATAAACCATTTGGTCACGTTGTGAGTCAAGGTAAGGTCACTTAGGATGCAGCAGATATAAGGCCATTGTGACCTTCACGCTACACCTGAAAAACAGAAGGGGAAATCCTCATGTGACACCTGTCCTTAGCGTTTCCACAATCAAGAGGTGGCATCTTTACAATAAATATTTTTCTTTGTAAGTATTCCAGTACTCTAAACACAAAAATCAAACATGGTTTCTAAATCTCAATTCTCACAGGTTTCTGCCCTCTGGATACTGGGCATGATGGATCATTTATCCCAGACAGAGATTATAGAAATAACATTTGGGATGTAGAGAAAGAACTCTTGGGCCAACCTTTTAACTATTAGGAAAACCAAGGAAAGGGGAGGAGACTCCACTGACTGAAGGTCATTTGGGCTGCACTCTCCACAACAGAGGGAAACAAACAAATAAATAAATAAAAAACATCTTCTCTCACGTTGTTAGCTTGGTTAGGATCTGATAATGAGTGTTAGTCACAAGGACAGAATTTTACCATTGAAGACAAAGGTAACTATGGCCAATTTGTCTTTGGGATGGGGTGGAATCACCATGTACCTAGGATTGGTGCTTCTGTGCTCTTTTGTGCATAACAGATAAATGTGCTCATTCCACAAGTGGAGTGGGGGGAGTGTTGGTGAAAACAGGTTTGGATCAGGAACAATAAAATCTGTTGTCACTTGTCTCGAAGAGAGTCCCCTTCTTGGTTTCATTCTAGCTTCAGCTCAAGTCCCTTGAATGGAATTCAAGGGAGCTGGCAAATCATTTTTCCTTTCCTTCTAAACATCTGGTTCTAATTCCACAAGATACTACAATGGTGTCCTATATCCAGAATTCAAACAAACAAACAGAACTGGAGAGGTGGCTTGTTGTCCAAGAGACCTGGGTTTCTAGCAACCATTTCTGGCTGCTCAAAACCCTGTAGCTCCAGCTTCCATTTTATTCTGTCCTCTGTGAATACTCATACTCCTGTAGCCAACACACATGCATATGCACACCAACACACACACACACACACACACACACACACAAAATAAATCTTATACAGATACCCCTCCACACTGAAACCTAAGTATTATCTGTTGCTTTTTTTTTCATTATTTGTTCTTTATCTAAGTTTTCAAGTCTTAGTTTGAGATGAGCATCCATACAGACCTCAACTTAAATTACAAGCAACTATTTCTCAGTCATTGCCTTTCCTCAGTCCCAGCGCCC